CATTCAAAAGGAGGATCATGAAGATGATGAGCTTGAACAGGATAAGGTTCAACAAGAAAATACACAAGTACTACAACAACAGCAGCTCGAGGATAGTTTGGCTTCCACTAGGCCAAGGCGAGCATACAAACAAGTACTGAAGCTAGGGTCTGATCAGCCCCTGAAGCATTATGGGCAGGTTAATTTGATAGAATACGCACTCTTGGTGGAGGATGATGAGCCGGTCACCTTCAAAGAAGCTATTCGGGACAAGGATAGTAAGAGTTGGTTGGCTGCGATGGAAGAGGAGATGGAATCTCTTCGGAAAAATCAAACATGGGAGGTGGTCCCATTACTCGTAGGAAAAAATGCTATTGGTTGTAAGTGGGTGTATAAGAGAAAGGAAGATCCTTCAGAGCTCGATGGTACAAGGTACAAGACGAGACTAGTGGCTAAAGGGTTTGTACAAAGAGAGGGTGTGGATTACAATGAGATATTTTCTCCGGTGGTGAAACACACTTCTATCTGGGTGCTATTGAGTATCGTTGCTCATGGTGATCTTGAGCTGGAACAACTTGATGTTAAAACGGCCTTCTTGCATGGAGACTTGGATGAAGAGATTTATATGCATCAACCTGAGGGCTATAAGCTTGAGGACAAGGAGAATCATGTGTGTCACTTGAGGAAGTCACTCTATGGATTAAAGTAATCTCCTCGATAGTAGTACAAGCGATTTGACTCCTTCATGCTAAAGCATGAGTTTTCAGAAGCGACTATGATTATTGTGTCTACATTCGGAAGCTTCGTGAGATGATTATATCTATCTTCTTTTGTATATGGATGACATGCTTATTACTTCGAGGAGCAAGGTGGAGATAGATAGACTAAAATCTTAACTTGGTAAAGAGTTCAAGATGAAGGACATGGATGCTGCAAGAAAAATACTAGGTATGGAGATTAGAAGAGAGCGGTCGAATCGGCGATTGTTTTTTAGTCAGAAGGGCTATATAGAGCGGGTGATCGTGAGGTTTGGGATGCAAAGTGCTAAGTCGGTAGTGACTCCATTGGCTCCACACTTCAGACTTTCAGGTAAACAATCTCCCACTACAGCAGAAGAGAAGACACACATGGAACGTGTCCCCTATGCTAGTGCAGTTGGCAGCTTAATGTACGCAATGGTGTGTACACGCCTAGATATTTCACAGGCGGTTAGTGTTATCAATAGATTCATGGCGAATCTGGGAAAGGCGCATTGGAACGCGGTGAAGTGGGTCCTAAAGTATTTAAAGAGTACCACAAATACGGGTCTGTGCTTTGGTAGAGATACGTGTCAGATTGATGGGTTTGTTAACTCAGATTATGCGTGCGATCTAGACAGACGACGATCTACTACTGGTTATGTGTTCAATATATATAGAGCTCCAGTTAGTTGGCGATCGACGTTACGGGATACAGTGACACTTTCTACTACAGAGGCCGAGTACATGACTATGACGGAGGGAGTGAATGAAGCATTATAGTTGTGGGGTCTTCTAGATGATTTGAGGATTGAGCGGGATATTGTGAACTTGTGGTGCGATAGTCAGAGTGTAATTCATTTGGCTAAAAATTAAGTTCACCATGCTCGTACCAAGCATATCGACGTCATGTATCATTTTGTACGGGATGTCATAGAGGAAGGTGATATTTTTCTCATGAAGGTACACACGAATGAGAATCTTACAGACATGTTAACCAAGATGGTGACAGGCAGCAAGTTCCAGCATTGCTTGGACTTGCTTCATATCAACCCGTGCTGATCTGCTCAAGAAGGCATGGCCCTTTGGGGCGGTGATGAGGGTGAGGTGGAGAATATGTTGGAGAATAATTACAGAAATACGGTTAGCTTGATCCTGGTCAGAGGGTACGTAGGCAACCATAGTATAATGGTGCAGCTGGTTTGGCCTGGTTTTAACCTGGTTTGGTGTCTCTGGTCTCTCTGGTGATGTTTGTGAGATTCTTCTGGTGTTCGTTCAAAATTTAAGGTTTATCAAATGATGAACGAGGTGGGTAATTATGAGTGGGAACGTGGTGTGTGGGGGACATAAGACAGTGTCCCCCATGCTCCCACGTTGCCCATGCTCACCCCCCCAACCCCCCATTCTGCCCATGCTCACAGCCGTCATGTCTCACATGCTCTCTTGGTTTAGCTCATACTCTCTCTTGCCTATAAATAGAGAGGAAGAGAGAAGAGAAGTTGTGTGGGGAAGAAAAGAAAAAGAGTGGAAATTCTTGAGAGATTTTGAAGAGAGAAAAATCAGAGAGAGAGCTTGTGAGTTGTACATGTTTGCCATTCTCCTCATAGTGAAAACCACCTTTTGTGGATGTAGGCAAGTTTTCCGAACCACGTAAATCTCATGTCTTAACTGTGAGTTGGTTTTGCTTGTAGGTTCCCTCGACAAGTCAGTCCTAGAACTGATGAGAGGTTGAGCTAAAACAAGAGTTGGCTATTGCTTGTAGGTTCCCTCGACATTCAGTCCTAGAACTACTGGGAGGAAGAGTGTATATCTCACTTTGTTGAGATATTTCACTTCTGTTCTTGTTTTCTTTATGAAACGGGAATATAGAGGTTGACTTGAGCTTTTGTGAAAACAAAATCCAGAGCTTTTTCTCGGGTGATATCGCTTCCCCAGCGTGAGGGTGTGACTCGGCGTGAGGGCATGCATAACACATCCTTGCACGGCATGTACATGTTTTGTGTTCAAAGTCAACTTCTAATGATTTATAAGATAATATCTCAAAGATTCAGCTATTGATTGCAAGATATCAAGAGTACTCCCTTCTTATAGTTTTCATACAAATTGTTTTCTTCTTAGGCACATATATTGTTATTCCATTTTGTTGTCATCTCATGACAAGTACTCATCATTTCCATAATGTGCAGACAAATGTGATCTACCATTTCACAGATGGAACGTGTTCTCGCCATGCAAATCTAACTATTGAAAGATTTAATCACATTTAAAGTGACATGACTGTCACAGATAAATATCATAAGTATCAAATAATGGCTACAAATCATAAAGAACCATTAACAGTCACAACTGATGCTAGAATGCAGTGGGTAGCGCTCAAAGGTCACAATCCATGATTAAAGATCACAAGAAGGTTTAATGTCACAAAACTTGGCATACCTACCAGGAAATGCAGAATTTGCCCCTTTTTTCTTTCTTTCTTTCTTTTTCTTTTTTTTCTTTTCTTTTTTTTTTTGGAAAAAGGTTGTGCTCATATAATGAAGACTATTAAAGTGCTTATTATTGATATCTTTATATCATTGCCGTTTGCCCAATCATTGCAAGCTTTGGGTGGAGAGTTTGTAGAGAAATATTATATGAATTTGTATGGGAATTTGGCCAGATTGAGTAGTTTTGTGAGTTTTGTCAAGTTGTGATGGTTGGAAGTTATATTAAACTTAGGTATGCCTGAGTATGCTTTGTAATTCTATATTTGGTTTAATAAAATTTCTTATTCCTTGACACTTTTCTGGACAGTAATTTATAGATGTTTGGTATGTATCTGTGTCAACGATGAGTGACGGCAAGGCCCACTCCTCATCTTCATGGATGTTTGAAAGAAGAAAGTCATACGTCCCTATTACGCTGAATTATATTTTCTATCTACTAACTACAGGATACATTTCGTGTCCGTCTTTTGTATCTAATACTGTTCTTATCTTTTATATTATGAACAGGGATCATCCCTTGTTTTTCTCTCAAAAAAAAAATAGATGTTTGGTATGCTTTTTGATGCAAAAGAATTGTTACAAATAATAGAAAAGTGCAAATAGAAGAAAACCTATTTTGCTAAATTCCAAATCAATGTTAAATTTCTATGAAAATTTGTTGCACGATTCCAAATTACACTTTACTGAAGTTGCATTTTTTAACCATAGTGATAAATTTGGTAAAACTAAGGAACTTACGACATAGATTGTGAAGGAACTTTCTTCACCGCTGAACTTTAACTGCAATTTATCAAAATCTAACTCAATCTTCTCTGACAATAAATTAGCTAAAGAATGTGAGCTCGCCATTGATTTTAGTAAAAAAAAATTGAGGCTTTTGGTTCTCTCTTTTGCATGCAAGAAGAAGAGAGTTAAGGGAATTTCGAGATTACGGTTAACAATTGGGTTTGTTTTATTGAAAACCCTAATTTTTTTTGAGAGATTTATGGTTAATTTTAGGGATTTTTCTCTTCGAGAAGAAGAATGTATGGGGGATTTTCAAGTTCGTTTGAGAAAGATGGGGTTCGAGGGATTTTGAGATACAAGATTTTTTTTCCTTTAGGAAAACCTGATGCAATTATGACTAAGTTAGAAGGGTTGTTTAGGGAGATTAATTTCCAGACCTTTATAAGCAATTTTCTCTTAAATAAAATATTTAAGAAAAATATAATATATATTATCTTATAACTATATTTTAATTTTAGACAGATTCAAACTTCTTCATATCAAAATTAAAGTAGGTTAAATTGGACAAATCTGTTTTACGTAAAAATCAGGATAAATAAGTTTTAACAGTTGTTGCGTGTAATTAAATCTGCACATACAGTAATGTTAGTATTGTAAATTCTTCCACATCTAGGATTTCAGGACACTAGAATAAAGAAGGGTCCGTGCACTCTTTCCTATTTCTTCAATCTTGTTTTTGTTCTCCATAGATTTTCACAATCATCTCTAACTCTGGTAAGTATATATCACTGATCTTTATAACAAAAAAATAAAAAAACCTAGTGATAATGTTTAGCCTAAATTTTAAATCGATTTTAAATCCAAATCTAATGATAATGTTTAACCTAAATGTTTTCTATAGATTATTGAACATAGATTTCATTGCTCAATCCAGCCAAACTTTTCCCTCAATTTTAGTCGAACTAAAAGTAAAAGATGCTGGCGAAGACCGGTAACCAATTCTTACCAGCCAACAAACAGGGGGCCACCCATAAATAAATGCCACCTCAACGCAGGGGCCAAATCTTAATTTTCCACCACCTCGATCTAAGAATTTCTATTTCCACAAAATTTCCCAAAAAAGCTCTCAACTTTCTTCTTCCTCCTCAAAGATCTCGAGGGATTTCGAAGATGAGGGGAGCATCATCGGCGCCGAAGCGAAAGATGAATGCGGTGTTTGGATGGGTGAAGCGTCAACCGCCGAAGGTCAAGGCCTTCATCTCCGTGGTCGCCGGCATGGCCGCTCTCGTGTTCCTGCGGTTCATCGTGCACGACCACGATAACCTTTTTGTTGCTGCTGAGATTTGTCACGCGCTTGGGATAGCTGTGCTTATTTATAAGCTTACTAAGGAGAAGACTTGTGCTGGTTTGATTCCGCTTTCCCTCTTTATCTATGTTGATTTTTTCTCTTTTTTTTTTTTTTTTTTTTTGGGGGGTGCACGACCACGATAACCTTTTTGTTGCTGCTGAGATTTGTCACGCGCTTGGGATAGCTGTGCTTATTTATAAGCTTACTAAGGAGAAGACTTGTGCTGGTTTGATTCCGCTTTCCCTCTTTATCTATGTTGATTTTTTCTCTTTTTTTTTTTTTTTTTTTTTTTGGGTGGGTGGGTTTTGTTTGATCCGTGCTAGGGTTGATAGTGCATCGGAAAGGTGGTATTTTGTTGTGGGGATGTTAGGGTTTTGATTACTGGTATGGGTCTGTTTAGGGCCTTTGTTCAATCTTGATTCTCTGGAGTTCTAATCGGTTGTTTGATTCTTGTAAACAGAAATTTTGACATTTACAGTTTGTCCGAAATCTAAGTGCCCCTAGGGTTGTTTATTTGCCTAATTGAGGAGCATTGCTTAGGGGGAAAAACAGTCTGCTTTGGAAGTTGATGATCATAATCTGTAGATGAGAAGAAGGAAAGTTTATACTCTGAGTGATTTAGTCACGGGAAGATTGAGGTAGCTTAGGGGCGGAGGCGCATACAAGAGGATGGTGTCAGGTGATGCCATCCTCTTATGTGTGACTTAATTACTAATGTTAATTCATGACTTCATCACATAGGTTAATTCATGACTTTAATTACAAAAGTAACACCATTTAAACCAACTAGTAGCACATTAACCGTTGACAGCCCAAGCATTAATAAAGAGATCTTGTATAAAGATAATTGGTTAATTTAAGATGCTCAATTCCGAGATAACACATGTCAAAGAGCTAGCATCAGTTTTTTTCAAAGAAAAAAGATGACAAAGTGGACGAATCACAACTTAGTAAGTTATATTGAAAATAATATTAGCAGTATCTCAAATGAAATTATTATGCAACAATTAGTCAATTATTTGGCCAAAATACCAATTTAGCCTATAAAGTGACACATTCTAACCAATAAGGCCTAAAAGATGACACTGGCGACAATAACACCTATAATTGACACAATTAACCACTTAAACTTAAACCTACTCCGGCCTCTGGAATTTTGATTTGTGCAAGAAAATTATGAAACTTTCCATATATACCCCTCATATTTCTCACACTTATAAATTTATCCTCGAAATTAAGATATTTACCTTAAAAACCTAACTCTCTCTTTCTTTCAACCTCGCTCTCCCCACTCCCCTCACTTTCCTTCTCCACTCCCTTCTCCACTTTTAAGTTAGTGTTTGAGGGTAGAGAAGAGAGAAAGAAGAGGAGAGGAGGGAAGGAGAGGAGAAGACTGAGATGAGAGAATAGAGAGAGGTTAAGGGGAGGAACATGGGTGGAGGAGGGAGAGGAGGAGGTGAAGGTGAGGATTTGGGGAAGGAGGAAAGAGGGGAGAGAGTAAGAAAGGAGAAAAGAAGAGGATGAAGCAGATGGTGAAGAGAGGGAGGGAGGGAGGGGGAGTTTTGGGAAGGATAAAATAGGGGAGGAAGTATTTTGGGAAAGAGGAAAGTGGAGAGAATAAGATAGAGGGGAGAAGAGGAGGATGAAGGAGACGATGGTGGGAGAGAGAGAGATGGGATGGGGGAATCAAATTTTTCTGAAAATATGGGCTGTCTATCATTTGAGATTAATAGAAGTTAATTTTAGAATCAAACTTAAAAAAGAAAGATATAAAAGAAAAGAGGGGAGAAAACCCACTTTTGAGTGATTGGGAGAGAATTTTGATGCTTTAGAGATCTGAATTTGGGTATCTTATTGCCTTTCCTTTTGTTTTTTTTTGGGCGTGGGGGTGGGGGTGGGGGCGGCGGGGAGGCGCGTTACGCCGGAGGGTTGATATGATAAAGAATAAGATATATAATTTAATAGATATAGATGTTATATTGTGTTTGTGAAGTGATATTTACAGATCACTTTGTTTTTGAATTTGAGCTCCTTTTTCGAAATTCAAAATTTGAATTTGGATTGGATGGGAATAGTTACTGCTGCATGTGAATAGGACTGTGGTGGAATGCTGAGTCAGATACGATAGGATGTTGAAAAAGGGGAAGGGGCTGAAATACATGAAATTGAAATCAAATACTTGTTCATTCCTTTAGATTCTCTTATGAGTTCACATCTAGGACCAATTAGATGCATTCGATTTAGTAGCGAAACTCTATATAGCCTAGTTCTGTGAAGACTGTTCCTGCTTTTTATCATCAGGCTTGACTTATCTGTGCACTAAATTTTTATGATTTTGTTATCTTTTTTAAAGTGGTTATAACTTGTGCAGTTTCATTTGTCTAATCTATTTTCTATTTTCTAAAATTTTTCTGCAGGACTCTCCCTCAAGTCTCAGGATCTAACAGCCTTGTTTTTAGCTGTTAGACTGTACTGCAGTTTTGTAATGGAATATGATATCCACACACTATTGGACTCAGCAACACTTGCATCCACGTTGTGGGTTATTTATATGATTCGGTTTAAATTAAAGTCTAGTTACATGGAGGACAAAGATAACTTCGCCATATATTATGTGGTGAGATTATTGTCTACTTGTTCGACCATATCCAGTTTAGAGAGTTCATTATTTATTATTTCATTGGTCTGCAAAATGCGAATATTTTTGGAGTTATTTGTCTATGTAAGCCATATAGAAACTGTCAAATTTTCTACTGTAATGGATGATTGCTATAATTCATAGAATTACATTTAATTAGAAGAAATGATAGCATTAATAATGGATTCATTGCCATTTTTGAAGGCTGTTTCAACCTTCTCTGAAGAGAAATCACTATCTGACTTTGTACTGACCTGTTTGTTTTTAAGGGCATTGAACTTGTAATGCGTTTGTAGGTTGTGTATAGAATGATCTTGATCTATTTTGATTTTTTTTAAGACATCTCATTCCAATTTATGAACTAAGCAATTATTTTTTGAGAGTTTTTTTTTTCTGGCTCAAGGTTCTCATACTTTCTAATCTGTTACTTATTAATCTCAATTTTCCAGATGAGAATGTAGCCAAGTATCTGTAAACAAGAAGATCACCCTGTGAACATATGTTTGTCAGTTATTTCCGTTATATCCTTTACCATTTTGAGATTGAAATATTGTATTTATCTGCAGTTTGTCAATTGTCAGGTAAATTGTGCATAACCTTTCTAGAGGTTAACATTTGCATTTGACCTTTATGATTTTATTCCTTGAAGTTGTTTAGATTCAGCCTTTCTCTTTTCATTTTTCTTTCATGGATAGATTGATGAGTTTATTAAAACAACTTAAGACCTTAATGTTCAATTTGCTATAACTAAGAAACAAACTCATAACTGTATTAACTTGGACTTTTCTCTTTTTGGTTGTAGGTGGTGCCTTGTGCTTTGTTAGCGTTTCTAGTACATCCGTCAACATCCCACAACATTCTGAACAGAATTTTCTGGGCCTTTTGTGTTTATTTAGAAGCTGTTTCAGTGTTACCTCAATTACGATTGATGCAAAACACAAAGGTATAAACCAGAAACGTAAACCCTTTTTATTTCAGAAATAATCTGTTATCTCTTAACTGGACTTTTTGGTTTCGTTTGACAGATAGTGGAACCATTTACTGCTCACTATGTATTTGCACTAGGAGTTGCTAGATTTTTGAGCTGTGCACATTGGGTTCTACAGGTTTGATTGTGATACAAATTTCTTAAATTTGTCATGATGCTGACATTTCTAATCAATTTTTATTGGCTCTTGTTTATTTCACGATATATTCTTCTTTTTAGCAGTAGACTCAAGGCAAAACCTCTGAATTTATTCGTCTTTTTTAACTCTTTTATATCTTTTTTATTTTTTGATCAGAAAGTTCTTAAGAAATTGCCTTAGTTTTGTCTGGGCATTCGATAAGTCCATGTAGATAGTAAGCAATTTGCATTCCATGTCCAAACGTTTCGGAATCTGTTCTATGCATTGTTTTTAACCTTGGGGTTGAAGTTGTTTTCCTAACAGGAAATCTGATATTCCCAGCTCTCTTCTACTCTAGGCCCATTCACAGTCTAGAGGAGTTGGGTTTTTTGCTTCTAATTGCGTAAGTTTTAATTACATGGATGAAAATGGTTCTCTGCCTATTCAACAAATTGTCACCTAGTTTTTATAGCAGGAAAAGGCTCTTACTTATACATACTTGCCTTGACTAGGAATTTGGCACCATTCAAGAAGTTGACGTGGGTGATAGTTGGTAGCAAGTGTTTGGTCAATAATTAATTTTCTTAAACTTTGTTATTTTAGAAGTTCTTATCCATAGCATTTGATGGGAAAAGGCTAGCAGATCTTGTTCCATCTTGTTGCCATCTTTGTCTTTAATTTTGCTGATCTTCTTAACTATTGCCCTCTCTCCACCAGGTCTCGCATGTCCTAGATTTGTCAGCAAAAACCAATAAGCGTACCTTTTATATTGGTCCATATGTATCTTAGCTGTCAGCACTTTGCATATCAAGCTGAATTCTAGTGCAAAAAGTTATGTTTTGTGAAAGGTGTTAAGTTTCAGTGTTTCACCAATGGAATTTGTTTGTTTTTAAATCAGTGCAGCATGTTGAGGCTTTTCATTTATGAAAACCTACTTTGTTGTGACTGAGGTAGTCAACTCATCCAAATTATCTGGGATTCTCTTTTAGAAATTGCAGTTTCTATGCTAGTCCAAAGAATTGTTTTAAATATCTTCGATATAGCCGATATATCCTTTTATTAGGCTTGTTGCAAAACGATGTGGTCTCAATGTCATTTACCGCTTTTTTGGCAATTTTTGGGCGATATATCCTCGACATAGCCGATTTATGAGCCAATATGTTGGTCAATATGTCCTCGTATATGGTTTGTCACAAAACAATGTATTCTGTAAAATTTCTTTAATGATTTTTTAAGTGAAACTTTCATCTCTGTGAAGCTTTTCAGCAACTTCTAGTAGGCTCTTTTCCTTAAACAATTCTCCACAATTGATTGGTAATCATAAGCATATATTATTTACGATGTTGTATGCTTAGATTTCATGACGTATGTTTAGATTACACTTTAGGACATTATATTATATATGAATATTATATTATATATGAATGTCATCTAATGTGGTACTCCAATATTTACTATATATCCCCATCATGTCCCTGATATCCCCAATACGATATGGATTTTGGCTGTCCGATATTTTCTTGATATCCGATATTTAAAAAATTGATTCTAATTATAATACAATACTACAAGGTAATAGAAAGTTCTCAGTGCATATTGTTGTGGAGCTTCGGCTGCTGGAATTTTAAAATATTTTTAAATTCCGATTTTTTTAAGGGGAAGAGCATGTCTACTATTGTTGTAAAATTCCATGTTAAGTAGCTCCCTTTATATATCCGCAAGTGGACTGTATCGTTTTAGAGCCTCCTTTTTCTCAGTAATAGCAGTAAAGCACTTGGCCTTGAGTTTTACTTTGTGCATGCCTTTGCAGCTCCAAAAATTTTGGTAAACTTTATTGGGTATAACAGACGGATTTCATTTCTATGATTTAAGGATAAAGAAAAGAATCAGCTCCGCAAGGAATGCGAGATTTGTTTGTCTAATGACCTAATGGAAACACTAGGTGCATATCCTTTTAAGGAGATATGTGAATTGTACTCAAGTGGTCACTACCAGTCTGGGAGACTACTGAATGTTTGGAGGAATCATTCAAAGGGATATGTAGGCTATATAGATTTCCTAGTTAGTGTATACTAAAAACTCAGCTGAATTTACTTCTTATATTATACAAAAGGTGTGCAAAATCCTTGTTTCATCATTAATTATAAATGAATAGTTTTCATCAAGTTACGATACCTTGTCCACAATATATTTCGTCACCATATGTGAAATTATTTTTGAGTAATGTGTGATTGACATTTTCTTCTCTGCTGGTGTTATATTAATAGATTTGTTGTATTTCACTAGTCGCATAGAATATATACATAGTGCTGCAGAGTTTGATATTTTATCTCTTTTTTTTGTCCTTTCCATGGGGGCCACCTGTTTGTTGTTTATGATTAGAAGTCCTTAAGGATATAAGTTCCTGACCATTTCCCTGAGGAGATAACAATTTGCTGTAGGCTCTTCATAGTAGGGATACACCCATTATTAGCTCCTAATCATTTCGGCATTTCCTTTCTAGAGCTTTGATGTAATCTTGACTATAAGTTCAGCAATATATATGAAGCGACTAAAATGCCAATGGAAGGCATATATAAAAAAGGATGGAGGAAATGAAACTTGGAAATTAAGGAGTTTAGGAAGAGGAAAAAAGTAAGGGAGAAGTTCATCTAAGATGGCGGGTTGAGAGTTTATTGTAGTGAAGAGAAAGTGAGGGAATAAATGTTGCTAGGAAATTAAAGTGAACATTGTTGAATTTGATCCATGATAAATTATGGATCATGTTTGGAGAAAGGGAGAGGTTTCAGAAGGAAATTAGAGTGGGAGTAACTAGCCAGATCTCTCATGTTGTATTATTGTATTGTATCTTGCAACCTTTCCATAAATCCCCCCAGAACATTTATATATCTCCTAACTCCTCCCTTTAAGCTAGAGTATATATATATCTCCTAACTCCTCCCTTTAAGCTAGAGTAGATATGTTTCGTAGGAAATACACTAGTCGACTATTAGATAACACATGTTTCTTGTTTATGTCTTTGTGATCCACCACCTTGTATTGAACAAGATAAGATTCTGCCTCGATATGTCTATTTCTCTCATGACATATGGGATCTAATGTAATAGTTATTGTTGCATGATTATTGCGATATAGTCTCATAAGAGAAGATCACATGTAACCTAGCTCATCAAGGAGTTTTTACATCAATATCAATTCACAAATTATAGTGGGCATGGTATGATATTCTAAACTGAATTAGAGATCTTTCCCATCAAACACAGTACATAATAATTGACTACTATGGACTGATGATGCTGCCCAATATGCATATGGAAAACTAGCTATACAGATATATTCATATTCATAATCAGAAGAACTTTTCATGGAGTACTCATCATATATCTTAATATTCTAATCCCAGCACTGCAGTGACCCTCTTGGGGTGTAAAATAAGAACCACCTACGGTATTCAGAGTGTAAAATATCTGAATAAGTCAACCTTTTTCGTTGGTCTCATGATTTTCCCTGGATTATCAAATGCTTCATGATTAAATAATTCATCCTTTTCACCTGCCAAGTAAAATATATAGCAGAGAGATAACTATGCTTTTTATTGCAGGTCTTGGATACACGTGGTCGTTTGTTGACGGCATTGGGCTACGGGTTATGGCCATCCATGGTTCTTCTCTCCGAAGTTGTCCAGACTTTCATCCTTGCAGATTTCTGTTATTACTACGTGAAGAGGTAAGGCTAACAACAAAATTCCGACATACTTTACTATAAGAGTCTAAACTGAAAGGTTCTTCTTCTTCTGCTTCACTTTGCAGTGTCTTTGGCGGGCAACTTGTGCTGCGTCTCCCTTCGGGAGTTGTGTGAATGGAGCTTTCTGTGATGTTTTTGTCTAATCATAGCTGTGTAATGTGAAATTATGTTCGGTAGTCTTTTCCTTCGCCTTGCGTTTTCTGTCTGTCCCCCTTTTTTGGGGGGTACACTTTTAGGGAGGGCTGCTCATCATCTTGAGTTGGAAACTTATTGATCAGTATGTACCAAGTCTTCATCTTATTTGTGGATATTGAAATGGGAATTTACATGACTTAAATAGGCATAACAAGGATGTGCTGCTCTAACTTTAAGAATACTGCCGTTTCTTTTTGCTGGGAGGCACATTCGTGCGAGGTAGTCTTTGGTGCAACTTAAACTGAAAGTGAAGTTGGTTACTGTTATGTTTTCGGGTTCTCAGTTGAGCACTGTGCTGCCGAATGAGCATGGAACTTGCTTGCATTGACTGATTAGAACGTTGCTGGTTTCTAGGGAGAGGGCATTACTCGTACTTGGAAGTAAGTAGTGCGAGTATCATCCCTAACCTTGAGACTCGTTTCCATTTATTTCCATTAAATACCCGTCACTATTAGTGATGAAAACTTCGCGCGTTGTTTCCTTCAATCATCAGCTAAAAATCGTTTTGTTCGGGGCGAATTATTCCAAAAAGTAACGTGTCAACCTCTGGCTTGCTAAAAACTTCGCGCCTTGTTGTCTTTAAAAACATCCTTAAGTTACTTCTAAAAGCACCCCCTTAAAGCACAAACAGTTTGAATAAGCTTGCCAAAACAAATTTTCTATCGATCGCTATTATTAACTGCTTCTTGAAGAAATGAACAGACGCACTCTAAAAAAAAGGCAAAACCAAACTGGCCCAAAGTCTTCACTGATATCGTCTATACCTAAAATTGTCAAAACACTAATTTGATAAGACTAGATTGCATAAAGTCATTTTTTTAAAAGCTAGCAATCGCAAAGAACAAAATTCGAAGATCCTGGAAATTTTCCAAGGATATCTAGCGAGCTTTTTGGAAGAAGAAAATAATGAGCTATATCATTGCAATTGACATACATGTTCAATAATACAACGCTGGACACCAGAGTACTGTCTGCCATGCCAAATTGGGGAATTTTCATACAGCAAGATAATCTATTTCTGTAAGAATTCAATGACAAACCACAATTATTGTCACTTCGTTTGCACCCCCACCCCCCAAAAAAAACCCACAGCCGCGGCACCTTGTCAACGGTAGAGCAGAAGGTTGAGAAAGAGTTTCATTTTTAAGCTGATCTTGAGAATCCATATTTTGAGAAACCCAAAATCTAAATAGCCGTAGCATACACCCTTGATGCACCTTGTATGATTGTGTCATGAAGAACTAGTCATTACAACTAGTACTCCGTCTCTAGTAGTCCATCAATGAGTCCAAAATCCAAGGCCTGAATGGAGAAGCAAATAGATCAGATAGGTTTCAACACATTAGCATAAGGATTCTGCCACCCGAAAGACCCATCAACAGTAAATAATGGTGTTACCTCCGAGGCTGCGAGAAAGCGATCTCTTTCAGTGTATTGTTGCACTTTCTCCAAAGGTTGGCCTGTAAAAGCTGCATACATCTTGTCTACTTTCTGCATGTGTAATAAATTTAGCAAGGTTAAGCTATAAAGATTTAGTTGAGGGTTGATTTGATTCATAAATTTTACTGTGCTCTACTAATTTCATTTACTTTACTGAAATGTTTCCCTCAGTGTTGCATGTTGTAGAGTGAAATTGGTTCACACAAACTAAACCCTCATTAAGCAAGCATGGGTATGCTATTCATCCGTGTCAAGTATATCATACCGTGCTCTACTAATTTCATTTACTTTACCAAAATGTTTCCCTCAGTGTCGCATGCTGTAGAGTGAAATTGGTTCCCACAAACTAACCCCTCATTGAGCAAGCATGGGTAGGGTGTTCACTAGTGTCAAGTATCATACTACATTTTACATATTCTAAATTAATTCAGTTTGAAAATTGTCCTTACTTATGCTTAGGGGCTTGGTTGATTGAGAGTGGACTTTACGGTCAACAAACCAAAACAAGCAAGCTTATTTTCAGCCCTATTCCTTGAAACAAGGTCCTATTGGCTGCATATAAAGATCTCATTCTTTCAAAAACAGCAATTGTGCAGATTACTTAAAAAGCTTCCTTACTCAGAAGACATTCAAAAAATTTTAAAAAACTAAAAGATTAAAAACTGAAATAAAAATCCAGAAGATGGAAACTTACATGACGAGTTTGAACAGCTTCATTGACCTGTCTCCGAACATCCTCCACATGCCCCTATATAAACATTGTAAAAGTCAGAAATAACATTATCCCTAGCAAATAACAAAGAAAGCAGGTTTTTCTTCATCAACGTGCTGAATTAGTATGTGAAATAAAAATCAATCGTACCCCACACCCGCTCTGTGGTTGATGTATCATAACTCGAGCATTTGGCATCGCATAACGCATGCCCTTCTCACCTCCGGCTAGAAGAAGTGCTCCTTGGCTTGCAGCGACGCCGAAGCATACTGTTCCTACTTTTGGCTTTATCTGGTCAGTTGAAAGAATCAGCAACATATAGTATGCCTTGGTTAGTACAATAGTATGCCTTGGTCAGTACAATAGCAGGTAGATAGAGAATAGCCAAAGCAAGTTCGTACGCAACATATAATCTCATTGATGAAAACAAAGTAAAAGAAAATTTAAGCAACCGTCTCCACAACAGCACCAGCAATTGCAATCGACTTGGGAGGAATAACAAAAACAAAGCCGTTGTCCCAAGTTGGAAAATTCAAATTATCAACAAGCTATTAACTCCCTGAACTCACAAATGCTTTTTTAAACTTAATAGGAATCTGGAAATAACAAAGAGAAGAAAAGGGTGGAATATGAACCGAAGTGGGCAACAGAATGTGAAACTTAACAGCTTCAGAAAGGAATCTTTATGAGCACTAGAGTTATGGCTCATAAAAAAAATACCAATTAATCCCTTGAGGAACAAGAGGAACATTTACAATAAACATGAGAGGCCTAGAGAGATAAATCAGATAGGCTTGAGTTAGATCTATAATATATATCACAGTGAACCTTGTTGAGAGGTGAAGGCCACTTGTACAGCATCATGCATGGAGTGGACATAGGACAGTAAAAAAAAACCAAAACCACAAGAAGAATGCCACCATGAGAAAACAGAACATTGTAATCTCAAATTTTTGGTGTTGGGTACATGGAGTCGTAATCTCCAATAATATCTTATAGGGAAAACCTTTGCTCAATTTATGTTCTCTTTGGTCTAACCCTAGTCCTAGCCACCCCTTCAACTTTAATCCTCTCCTCTACCACTTAGCTACTGTCGCATAGCTCCAACGCTACCTGAGACTGTTAATATTCATTTACACTTTTAAACCATCTCAAGTGATTTTCCCTTGTTATTATCTGAAATGGATGGTTCTAACTTCCTGTGGACACACACAGTTACTACCCATATAGCTGCTTATCCATGTAATTTTAATGCCACCGTAATCCATTTTCCTGCGAGCTGCTTCTTGATTTTCCCAATAACCTCTTAATGTAGCTTGTAAACAAATAAGAACACTGAGTGCTAGAAGCCAACCCAAAATAAGCCTACTCCTATTTTTTATTCATTTCTTTTTTCCTTTTTCCCCTTTTCTTTCTATTTTTCCTTTTCTTTTTTAAACAAGAAGGCTACAAAATGAGAATTTGATAACTTACCCATGACATACAGTCATAAATTGCTAAGACAGAATAAGTGCTTCCACCAGGGCAGTTCAGGTACATCTGGCAAAAGGGGAAAAAACAGATAAATCATGGAAGAATTAAAAGACATTGGAACAATATTTTCGTAATAATAAAAGCCCCACAAACCTAAAAGGAAAATCAAACATATACATAAATTGAACTAAATATCAAATTATCAATACCAACACCGGAAAATAACAACAAACAACCCAGGATTAAACAAGTTTCAGAGCTTCATAAAATAAAAAGCCTACAACTGTTAGGCAAAAACAGGAAAGCTCTCCACAAGTAACTTGTATGTTTGTTTCCTTTGGTTATATTTTATGCAGTGATGCACATATTTAATCACTTATGCAGTCCCCCGCATGAAAGCAGACTTCATGGAACATGAAGAAAGAACTTCAAGGAACATGAAAGAGAACACTTGCTATCATTTTCCGAAGAAATTCAAGTAAATAATCAAACATCATTACCAACACTAATTGCTCCAACTTTTATATAAGCCAAACATGCTAGATGGCTGCAATAACCAGATGACAGTAAACTTTATTCCTCATGCAGAATAAAAAAGGAAAACTACAAAAGATTGTTAAGGTGCCATAAGTCATGACATCTATGAATCACAATAAAGATTAATAGTCAAAATTTGGAACAAAAATTAAGCATGTAAACTAAGATGAAGAAAATCAGCTTAGATCTTACAAATCTAAATATTTATAGCAAATACAACTAAGGAAACTTAAATAATCCATACCAGAATATCTGCATCCTCATCTATAGTAGCAAGTGTCACGAGCTGTGATATAACACGCTGGGCAACTTGGGAATTGATAGGTTGCCCAATGAAGATAATACGATTGCGGAATAATATGGATGAAAGATCTAACGGTCCTGCAGGAGTCATCACTGCTGGCATTACAGGTGGATTCCCTCTTTTTGCTTCAATGACTGCATCATACCTAGAAATGGCAATGTCTGAGTAAAATGTATAGACAATATGTAAATCCAGTAAAATTAAGAATGCAGCCCAACGTTTTGTTACTGGTTTCAGGAAAATGATATTTTTCAAGTTTAGGAGTGTCATGGCTTAAATATGATCATCAAGTGAGCAATGGCATTGTTCGGCTGCTTTCTGATTAGATAACTACTTCACCAGGTCCATCATCCTAAACCTCCAAAATCAGAAGTACTTTCTTGAATAATTAACATGGTTTTACATTTTGAGGCTAATTGAACATCAAGAAGAGCCATGTAATTTATTATAATAGTTATCTATTTGTTGTTACGATCAGTTGTAACATGTTATGGGCAGTTGTGAATTCTTTATATGTATTTAATTGACCTTAAACTCATGTTTCCAGATCTACGAATATATAGGGGGATAGGATTGGCTTCTTAATTAAAGCTTTGAAAAAAATCCTTTATATAGCAGGAAAAGCAAATGGAGAATAGTCCATTCAAGTTCATGTACATCATTTATGGAACCAAAATTGAATGATTTCATAATCTCTAACCTATACATCAAGAAGGCACAAAAAGGGGGGAAAGATAGTTTTAGATAGCACTTGCTTAAATCTACAACCGAGTAGTTTTAAATAGCAATTGCTTAAACTTCAACCGAGAATAGATAAAACTCAATCAAAGTTAGTGTGCAAGGGCTTCAAAGTGTTCAAATCATGATCAAATGTTTGTATTCTTGATTTGTATGCCTTAAACCATAGATCCAAACAACATGACCCATTCAACAGAACAACTCAGAAGATGAAGAACTATGTTAATTTCTTCATGCTCGTTCCGCGTTCAAGGTACCATGTAGAAATAAGGATTTCCTTCCTCACATGATTTCTTCAGATTGTCGATTGCAAATCACAATTTCGAATATACAGAGTTGATCTGTTGTATCAGTTTCTACAATTGAACCTTTTTTTTGTGCAATAATAATTGCTAAGGGCTCATTAATAAGTGATGCAGGATATTGTGCATTGTAACCCAACGGTGTGGACCCAATTCATTATTATGGAACAATTTTTTTCCCAAGTGAAATCTCCTAGTATGAAAAAGAAAACAAAAAAAAAAGAGATCTTTTCTCGTTGTGGAATAAGAAGCCTTTGTAGCTTAATGCATACGTTTAATTCATGTGGGGCTATCAGAGACAGACTCACTTTTGGATTTATTGAAGAAATTATGAGAATATTTCTTGCAGAACATCTTCCACAATCCTAGATAAGTAGTTCCGCCCATTCACGTGCAAAACATGTGATACTATGACACTCGATGCAGGAGCTAGTCTGCAAAAGGGGATATAGCTAACTTCATCCTGGTGACAAATCAATTCACCTTATGAAGGTACTGAAGATTAGGAGTTCACTTTTAGATTTCCTCGCTGACCAAAAGCAACTTAAAGGCACATACAAAAAGTACCCAAAATGAAGGTATTGAGTCGGCATAAGGTTACTGGTGGTTTCAGAATCGTTAAACTCATAATTTCCAGAAGTCACTGCAAACCATAGTAAACAAACTTATTCAGGCTTAAAGTGTAACCAATTATTCATCAATGTTGAGAGTCAAGTCTAGAAATTCCATTTGTCTAGTAGCATCAAATTATGGACAGTTATTGCTATAGACACTGATCCACAACTGCAATACCACAGCTCAGGTACAACTTATATGACCATATAGAAACAAGCGATGCCCATTGTATTTACATGACAAGACTTCATACTGTAAACATATTTGCAAGCATCCATAACAGTAATCTACAGCTTCTCTTTATTGGGCCCAACTCTTCAATTATGTAAATAATATCGGCTGAACAATTGGTACATTACAATTTCATTTCACCGCCTAATACAAAAAATCTAAGCATCCAACTACAGAATTATGTAGAGAAACATTCTCTATTATATAAGGCAGCAATTATATCACACATTAAAGTTAGGAGGAAAAGTTAAAAATCAACTAACAACGTAATGCCCTGTATTAATCCATATGGACGCATGAAACAAAAAAAAATTGGCACGCACCTTTCTGCAGTACAACGAGGGGTTTGCTCATTAAGCCTTAGAGATAAACCTTTGGATCCACCAAACATGCCTGGAAGCAGTTTGTAAGACAGGTCAAATAATCATAGATGAATATATTATGTTGTATTCTAGTTTGACTCACATAATCAAGTCACCATTAAGAATTTAAAGGTTAACATCACATAGGGATATACATGCAGAAAGCGTGATTATCCTGTTGGATTCATGTCCAGTTCTTTCCTAATTTAAATGAAATAGTTCAATTCAAGTAGTGAAATGGTCATCAAGTATAAGAAGTGATAGAGACCATTTATGTTTCTTTGCTTAGTATCATCACTGCAGTGAAGTCACATGCTCAGTGCCTAGCAGCAATCCCACTGACCATTACAATGACAAGGGCATGTATTGTGTATTAAGCCTTGCTGTATGAGCAATAGGGGAAAAAGTCATCCAATTGAGAGTAGTCTACCTTCATGTGCATTCGTTTGAAAGTATCAAGTAAAAGAACATCAATAGTCAATGTGAACCAGAGCAATGGAAGCTAGTTCATCACTTGATCTGTTGAATTGAAGCTTCTAAAGTAAGTTAAAACTGGCTGCTTGCAGAATAATAAGGATTAAAAGGTGACTGTGGCTTGTACAATTGATGAAGACAAACAATTGAGGGAATCCTCAAATTGACATCAGCAAAAATAGCTAAAGATTGTTACTTTGGCTCTAGATAGCACGGACACAGGTGCGGCGGACACAGACACAGACACGAAACACAGCTAATTTGTAAAATCTAGGATACAAGGACACGGTAAATTTGTTTCTTTCTATTATCTATAACAACTACGAATCAAATTAAGTCAAAGTAAAAATAAGGTTTAACAATAAAATCTTAGCTTTGATCGCATGTAATAACACAAAGGGTATTTTTCAAATACTTAAGAAATGGGCGTCAATTTTCGGGCTCAACGAATCTGATATTACCAAAGAAACTAGTTTAGAGTATAAGTAAAGGAGAAATCGGGTTTTGCTTTGAAACACACTTGTCCATGGCATGTCCGCAGAAAATTCGTGTTTGACACATGTTGGACATGGACATGGCACCCGAAATGGTATGGTCGAGTAACCTAGCTTTGGCTATAAAATATTAAGTCTTTAATGTTTTTGCTAATATGAACAATAGTGACCATGTGTTGTGAGGCCTTCCTCTTGGTAGAAGACAATACATAATAATATACGTATAAATTAAGAATCTTGATTATTAATAGTTTGACTTATGCATAATAGATTTGTGAACTGTATGACCTATTCCCCCCATTATGTTAAATGGGTGTATAAGAACTTCCAAGTGACAAGGATTTACATAGAGGGGTTTATGATTTCTTGGCAGTGTGAAAGTTTAGTACACTAGGAATACTAATGTATTCGGAACACAACCATTGTGGCAGAAGAACTTGTGGCTTCTTTATGATGTTTAACATCGAAAATAAACAACAAACTTATTCCCACCAAACCATTGTGAATGTTCAGCATTTAACTTCTTTCTTTCTCCCTTTTTTACCTTGGCCAAATTTTCATCTCCAGCTGTTATTTCTTTGTACATTGCTATTCATTCTTTTGTTCCTCGTAGTCCTTTCTTAAGGCTTTAAAACCTAGAACACTACACTCTCCTTTAGCCAACTCATTTTCTTTTCCCTAAACAAGGGCAATAACGTATTCTCAAAACCCTTTTCACTGAGCTGGAACTTAGTGGACTCCAGAGTACAAATGATATTTTGGATAAAGGAACAAGAATCCTGCATATTAGCAAATCATACAGTTTGATGATAGCAGAAGATGAGCAAGATCCAATATTTTGCCATGATATATGAGCAGAATTGATCCTTCAACATACAGATTAGCGAACTTGGACAGCTATCTTGGGCTACACTCAAATTTAGGAATGTGTCAAACCCACAGCTAAACTAAAACCAACAATCTTTTTCCCCCGTTCTTTTGCCCTATGGAATCAGAAAGTAAATGATCTCTTTCGCACTCTAGTGGGGAAATCCCAAATTAGCCAAATTTTCATCTTATTCTCCAAATTATCCAATAAACTAACAAAATTTATCAAAGATGAAAACTTTTCCTTCGTTTGATAGCAGAACATTAAAATCTTATACAGAAAATAAGTAGAACGCAATTAGGAAGGATTCGGCTGCGAGCTTACCGCGGTGCTGGCGGCGATCCAAATGAGAAGCAGAAAAGGGTAATCTGATAATGTTTCTGATAAAAGGAAAAAAAAAAGTAGAAGTTGTTAAGAGATATTGAGAAAAGACGAGCAGTTTTGTGAAAAAATAAACAGAGGGGACCTGGGATTAGTTTGAGAGGCGGAAGCGGAGGCGGCGAGGGCGAAGAGAGCGGAGGCTGCCGTCGACGCCATGGGATTTTTGCGAGATGTTTTGGGGAGCGAGAAAGGGTGAAGTCGGATAAAAGTTGAAGATTTGGAAGAGGGTGAGGATTAATTTGAATAGATCCCTCCAAGTTTTGTTATTTGCATAAACACGTGGAATCACTAAACTTGTATCGTAACGAGGACAAATTTTCAAAACCACCCCTTTTGAGATTTTATTCCCAAAAAACGACCCATTTCCCTCTTATTTGTAAAAACCGACCTGGTTTCAGCCCCAGGGCTGAAACCAGGTCGGTTTTTATAAAAAAAAATTCCGAAACTTCACGGGAGTTGAACTCCCGTGAAGTTTAGCAATTATTTAATTAAGCTGCTAAACTTCACGGGAGTTAACTCCCGTGAAGTTCCACAGCTCAACTTTTTTTTAACTAAGAAACTTCACGGGAGTTCAACTACCGTGAAGTTTAACAGCTATTTAATTAAGCTGCTGAACTCCCGTGAAGTTTCAGAACTTTTTTTTAAAAACCGACCTGGTTTCAGCGCTGAGGCTGAAACCAGGTCGGTTTTTACAAATAAAGAGGAAAGGGGTCGTTTTTTGGGAATAAAATCGCAAATGGGGTGGTTTTGAAAACTTGTCCATATAAACGAGGATATGATCACCTACTTGTTTCGTTTGCATTCTCCTACTTGAATGGGGCCCACAAGAATAGCCACAACCGACTCCTAAATCCACTCGAGATCAAATCTAAGCACAGCTCAAATCACTCTTTTCTGCTCTACAACTTCCTCAAAAGCTCTCTCTCCAAGCGCGACGGCATCCCTTCGCCTCCTCCCCTCTTCCCCTCTCCATCGCTCCCCATCCTTTAAAGACACATAATATCCTATCGAAGCTCCTCTCTTATTCTCTCCATTTCCTCTGTCTCCTCTTCATTGGACTCCAACGGGTGCCATGTCGTTATCTTCAAGGTCTACAATGCTATGGTCTATAATAAAAGAGGCTATCATGCAATTGTGTATTTCTTACTTTCAGTGGGGCCCGTATGAATGCCTAGCTAGTTGCTCCTTTTTCGTTTATGTTGTCGTACTAAAGAGGGGAAATAACTATTTTACCCTTTTGGCTTACTGGAAGCGATTTAAAGCCCGTTTAGATAATTGAAGTATTAGAAGTAAGAAATAATTTATAGAAGTAACTTTCAAAACTATGAAGTAGAAAGTAGTAGAAATAGCATTTTTTTTGTTTGTTTCATATATTTTTAGAAGTAATGGAAGTAAAACTTCTTCCTCTTTTTTTTGTTTGGATAGCATTTAAAAATATTACTAGAAAGTAATTAACACATGTTGCTTCCCCAATTTCAAAGCCACACCACGCTCTTTAATTTGATCTAGCATGTTACAACCAGTTTCATGCTGCTATGACCCCTCGCCACTTGAGAGCAAGAAGAATCCTTCAACTACATAGCTTCAAAATAATTGTTTACCTCTCGCCTACGATGAGACTTCGGATGACCATAAATTCCTATGAATCTCCAATTTTCCTCCTTCATCGCTCCTTTAATGGTAACATCAACTTGGTATTTAGACAAAAAATTAATAGACAAACTGCTCTCTTCATCCCAAAGAAAAGCTGGCCGACGAACATCACAAATTACTACAAAATAATTACTAAAAATAAGAGCAATTTTATCAATGAAAAGTTATTATAAGTAACTAATAAAGGAAATATTAATAAAAATTTATTTATTTCCTAATTAATATGCATTTCAACTACTTCCGAGCTACTTCTGAGTATTGAAGATTAGAAAAATATTTTGGAAGTAAGGATGATACGTAGACGCCACATAAGCGTTTAAATAAGTATTGGAAGTAAGTTTTTTAGAGAACAAAACACATTTTTTTGTTTGGAAATAGCAGAAGTAGTCTCTACTTCTTTTACTAAGGTCCTTATTGACTACTTCATAATTACTTCTATGCAAACAAACAGACCATTATTGACGGTTGTGCTCTCTTATTACAACCGTTGTCTTTTCCCTTTCTCTCTTCTCTTCTGATAAAGTTAAAAATCTTATTGATGTTTTTCTCCTCTTCTTCCTTAACGTTTCCTCCGCATTGGTCGCCATAGAATTGTAATCACATATGCCTAGGTTTCTCCTAAACCCCAGCTCTAATCTCTATTCCCATCTGATCTAAGGGTTTTGATTCATTAGATTTATGCATGGGCTTTCTTATCTACGTATGATTTTGATCTAATCCAACTATGTGTTTCCTTCTTTTCCTTATCTACGTATGCACATTGATATGATTTTCTGCATTAGAATGAATAGTGACAGGAACAGAAGGAAAAAAAGAAGCAATTACACCTTCTTGAGGAAATAATTCTATGAAACTTAGGGCCTGTTTGTTTCACCCTTTTATAGAATAGGATTAGTATTTGGGCTCTGACAGTGGCATTTTCGTAATTTGTGGATTCTTTGTGAATCCTATTCTGGAGTTTGGCTCAGCAAAAATTTTGGGATTACATTTTCTACAAAGTAGCTACAGTTGTCCTTTTTTATAGAAACCCAAATCCGAGCTTCGGGTTCGGATTTGGGCGAGATTTCTGACACTGAGCTATGTCGTCGATTCCGATTCCTGGGCTTCACGATTTCGATCCCTAGATCTGGAATCGCTGTGCCGCTCCCGCCTCAATCGCCCTCTTCCTCGCGCCTCTGCTCCCGCGCTTCGTCTTCTTCAACTTGGGTTCGGGCCTCTTTCTCGAAACCCTAGCTCTTGATTTCCACGAGCTTGTTGGTGGGTTTCTTGCCTTCGATTCTTGGTGATCCCTTCTGGTTGGGATCTTCTTCAACTTGGGTTCGGGCCTCTTGCTCGATCTTGTTCTGGTTGGAGTGTGGCTACGGTGTTTTCTTTGACGTCGGTGGGTTTTTTGCTTGAACGTCGGCATTTCCCCCCTCTGCAGTAAGGTATAAAAATTTCCCCCTCTTACTTTGGCTTATTTTTCCAGTGATTTGAGGAATTAAATTTAATTTTGAAGCATATGAGAAATAGAAGCACACATCAATTTCAATGATTTGTTCGATTAATTTCATAATATTACAGCAAAACAATTCATACGGGTATCTGTGTAGTGGATTTTTTGTAAATTTGCAAGAATTAGGTTGTTAGGTAGATTAATTTCATGCGGGTATCTGTGTAGAGATTAATTTCATAATATGTTTCAAATCAGTCTTTTAATAACTTAAATTGCTGTTTTTTTACTTTATTTAATTTTTTTGTGTGCGTGTAAATTATTAGTAATCTAACCATATAGTTTGTTTGTTTTGGGTCTATCTTGCTTGTTTAGAATTGTGTGAGATGGAATGCAACATTAGTTAAAATAATTTATTATTGCAATTAGATTTCTTGCGTTAAAAGAAATAAATATTTGTATCAATTATCTACTTAATTTTGACAAGAAATAAGTAGCCATCTTAAGCTGTAACTGTATGATAATTTTAAAACGGTTGTAGATGGATATGGAAGATGAGGAAGAATTGAAGAGGATGTGTGCTAATACAGCTGTCTATGCCGTGGTCACTTTGGTAACATGTATTTTGAGAATGCGTGCTAAGCGCAAGAGAATACCAAATTGTTCGCCGCAAGAAAGGGTCAGGAAAATAAGTTGTAGAGAGGCTCATTTCAGACGTGTATTGGAGGGTTATCAAGATAGCTGCCAATCTTATATTAAAATGAGACCGAGGGTCTTTTTTAAACTTGTTGAAGTAATGAAAGCAAACGGTTTATTAAAAGATACGAGACACGTTCAAGTTGAAGAACAACTTGCTATGTTCTTGAGTATTATTGGGCACAAAACTAAAAATAGAATAATAAGAACTGAGTTCATAAGATCAGGGGAAACAGTTAGCAGGTATTTCAATAAAGTCTTGTCTGCAATGAATGGATTACGTGATCGGTACATGAAGCAAGCCCCAAAAGAAGTTCCCGAGGAGATTGCAAACAACTCAAATTATTTTCCGTACTTTAAGGTAAATTAAATACATACAACTTAATAATTTTCCAAATAAACTTTTTTTTATTTAACTATGTATAATTTATAATTTTTTATAGGACTGCATTGGTTTGATAGATGGCACACACGTCGACGCGGTATTACCCAGTGACCTAGTTACACGGTTTAGAGGGCGAAAAGGGGTCACCCAAAACATCTTAGCAGCCTGCACCCCCAATAAACTATTTACTTATGTCTTGGCTGGCTGGGAGGGGGCAGCAAATGATTATATGGTATTACAAGACGCCCTGTCTAGGCCACAGCCTTACGGGCTCCGAGTTTACGATGGTATTCATTCTCACTTCTGCACATTATGAATAATATATTAAATACTTGGCAATATTTGAGATTTTAAAATACTGTTTAATTAATGTAGGTAAATATTACCTATGTGACGCTGGATACACCACAATGCCAGGTTTCATATCCCCGTATCGCGGTGTCCGATATCATTTAAAAGAGCACACCGGTAGGACACCAAAGAATAGGAAGGAGTTGTTCAATTTAAGGCATTCATCTTTAAGATCAAAAATTGAGTGCACATTTGGGATACTGAAGAATCGGTTTAAAATTCTTGCGGGGAAGCCGAATTATCCATTTCCCACTCAAGTGGACATTGTACTAGCGTGTACTGTGTTGCACAACTTTATTGCCTTGGAGGATCCGGATGATGATATTTTAAATGAAAATGTTGAAATTGATGAAGATACTGGGGAAGAGACAAATGAGGACGATTCAAATGTCAAATGTGATGGACTATACTCAAAGTAGGACACAAAGAGAGGATCGAGATGTTAGAAATGAATGGAAGGAGTTACGAGATCAAATTGCTTGGGCGATGTGGGTGAATTATTGTGCAAAGTACAATGGTGGTAACACAATGGAGAGCGGTTTAACTTAGTGTAGTATTTTTCCTATGGCTATGTAATAACTTGGTGAATTTTAACATACTGTTCGCATCGATATCTTTTATTGTTTCTATGCTTGTAACAAACCATTACTACTTTTATCACTTGCTATTTTGTTATGTTGTTTGAACTAGAAATATCATCGTTTACTATATTCCCTGCTAAATGCAT